GTAGTGCTCTGCCAGAGCTAGCTGCCAGGGTCCGGCTGACAGGTCGTACCTACGCATATCGCTACATCGCATAGTGGACGACCTGCCCAACTCACTCAGTGACATTTCCTTTACGAGTTACGGTGAGCTCGGCACACTCTTCCAAGAAGGTTTGCCAGAAGCCTCCATCCCCCAACAGATAGAGGCCCCTCACAGCCGATAAATGCTCCAATAGTGTGGGTGACACCGTTCCGCGTAGCCACCCATTGAGAAATCCTCGAGCCCGTTCGACACTTCGCTCTATGTAACGTATGCAGCCAGGAGATGTCATCTTAGAGTTCGGATCATCTCCATCGAAAAGTACATTCAATTGCCTTAGCCGACTCAAGTTCTCAGCATTCTTGTTCGTGTCGTCTGTGGTATCGCACAAACCAAGGACCCTAACAGCAGAGCCACAGAGAAGTATCTTCTCGGCCAGAGAGGAACTAATTATTCCCTTCGGGATAAGCTGTTGATCAATCTCAACTGCACTAGAGCTAGCGGACTCCGTCTCCACAACCGAGTAGTCTTTGCTGATAGGTGTGATAAAGAAGACATCAGGCATCATAGGGACTTGTCCGAACGAGACCCATTTGGACAACATTGATGAGAAGAGTTCACCAAGTGCGTCGAGACAGAACCCGAGAGGACGGCGAATCGGTGAACACTCAGGCAAGGCATGGTAGCGCGACCAGAGGAGATTAAGCAGGATGCAGCCCCGTACTGACTGTGCCTCGTCAAGAAGGTCAGAAAAGAACGTGAGAAGGATGGTTTGATCGCGAAGTTGAGCGACCAGATAAGTGACTGGCAGAAGCCCATCATGTTGTAATAGAGAGCCCTCAATGTCGCAGATCCTGTCCCTATAGGGCTCAAGGACAACCGACTCGATGATGGCCACAAGAGTGTAATGATAAGGAGCTGGATGGGGCTCAGGCACTGAGGTGAGCACAGCTTCAACAGCATCCGCTACTTTGTTGTACAACCTAAGAGCTAATAGTTGATAATCAACCTTCCCAGCGAAGCTCGTAACCATTGCTATGACCAGGTCTTACCCGGCGATATGGAGCAAGGGTTTGATTGACAGGACTTGCGAGTCTGACAATCTACTCAGGGCTATCGGCGCCAACACGAATGATGGGCGAATGTCATCTTTCCCCTAAGAGATGATATCGTTCGAGTCGCCAATCAATGACTGCCTTTGCCAGCTAGCTAGCGTCGAGAGAAGCACCGAGTAGCAACATAGATCTTATCAACCCACCTCCATATTCCCATCGCTGTTAACTAGCTGCTTAACGATGAAATCCCCTTCAAGTCCCAGGAGGGCTGTGAGCAGATCGTGCAACATGAAAGGACAATTTCAGCTGCAACACTCTTGCCTCATAGGGATGAATTTAAATGACTTCCCACCTTTGGATAAAGCACCGCAGCCCTCCACTATGAACGAAGATGCTGAGGTTTATCCCAACACAAATTCAGAGCATCAGATAACACGATAATTTAACATAAATATCACTTACGTTCCGTCTCATTAATATCAATTGTACTTCCATGAGGAGGCGGTGCAAATGCTGGAGGGAGAGGTGCTCGATCGAAGCTCAGACTTGGTGGGGCTTCCACTGCATATTCCCGAGGGGCCTCAGTAGCAGACCCCACAGACTGGGAGGTTCCATCTGGACTCTGCGAGGTGACTACTTGCTGGACTCGAGTCGCCACAGACTTGAAGCCAGTAGAAGCTTGCCCCCACCAGCTGGTCGGGTCACTCGTCATATCTCGCAATTTCCCGATGGTAGCATTAGCAGTAGCCGCCAGGGAGTCCGATTGAGTCCTCACATTGGCCGCTGCCGTCGACGTAACATCCCCAAGACGTAAGCGTACTTCATCAAGTTTCGTAACAGTTTGCGCTCCTGAAAAGGAAGGTCAAGCAGAGCTGCAAGCAGAGCCCTTACGAGTCCCTTGAAATCTTTCGGTTGCAAGCCGCAAGCTCTCCCCAGCCGTCTCCTGTAGAGAGCTAATAGTCTCGGTGACTTGGCCTATCAGGAGTTCCTTGTTGGAAGGTAGAGGCTGATCACCACGGAGCTCAGCCACTGCAGCAAACCTGGGCATAACATCCTAGAAGGTGCATTGAAATCCAGGGAAATACCCTCCTTGTAGCAGCGCTACTCCCGGCACTCCCGCTTCTATCAGCA